AAATCTCTACAAATTTGGGTAAAAAATTTCTCCGCATATCTCGCATAAGAAAAATTGCTGTGACCAGAATTTTGGCAAGAGTCTTTGCATATTTACCTTTTTTCATTTCCCAGATTCTGTACTTTATCTATTGACCGGTTTTGATTTTTATTTTGATGTATTTTGAATTGCGTGACACTGAAAACCAGCAATTCTGCAAGTTAGAAAAAGAAACAAAAGGTATTTTACGTGCAATCTCTCGGGCCGAAGGTGAGGTGTTACGTAATGCTTAGCCTTGCGGTCTTCGGTTTTAAGTCTATGGTTTTAGGTCTTCGGTTTTAGGTCTTCGGTTTTAAGTCTTCGGTTTCTGGTCATCGGTCTTCGTTTTCGTAGCTTCCCGATCACGTTACATAATCAAGATGAAGTCATTAATTTTTGCGCCAAAAACAATGACTCAAAGAAACTGGTAACTAACAAAAGTTATTTGGGAAAAATTTACATAACAATGAATGGAACCAAGTTAGACATTTCGTGACATTTTATGACTTTTTATATAAATTAAAGTAACAATGAATGAGACCAGACTAGCTTACACGTCTTCGGTTTCGCTTGCGGTTAAGTTAGCTCCACTCAGGTTTGCTACGCCGTTTATTTATTCCCCAAAAAAACCTTATTTGACCGCAGTGACGTCATGTGTAAACGCTGAGCGCGCAGCATCATCAACCAAAAGCGAAAATTTGAGCAAAAACGAGAGCGTTAGAGCTAATCTCGTTCCCAGATCTCTTGTGGACAAAGCCGACGGCGAGGATCTCGTCTTCGGCTTCGTCCACAAGAGATCTGGAATAAACGTTCGATTAAATATTACTTGTTTGGATGCGAAACTAGGTATTTTGTTTCCATGGGGGAGGTTGCAGGGGACAATTTAGGTGATTGACACCTTTCCCGACCTAACAACAGTTACAGCAATTAAATATCCCATACCACTCTGCTTAAAAACGCATTACAAAGGTCACTGGTCATTGCACGAGCCCTAGTCAGGGACGGAGACCGTAAGTCTTATGATCCGCGCGCACCTATGATATGGGACAAATTTTCTA